CGAGCTCCATTAGATACCAGAGTGCTCCTCGATCAACTGAGTCGAATGCCGCTTGGAAGTCGATGAAGCAAGCAACCGTCGGCTGTTGGAATTTGTCCCTGTGTTCCAAAATTCTTCGCAGTGTGAATAATTGATCAACACAGCCTCTTCCAGGTCGAAATCCGGCTTGATTTGGCCTTGTTCGCACGTGGCGTTCGGCCGCGAAGCGGTTCAGGAGAATGGAAACAAAAACCTTAGCAGCGATATCAATCAGACTTATGCCTCGGTAGTTCTCGCATATTGACCTGTCTCCCTTTTTGTGGAACGGTAGCAGAACTGAGGTGCTCCAATCGGAAGGAATGGTTTCGGACTCCCAAATTGAGCAGAACAGCGAGTGCAGTGAATCGATTAGCGCTGGAGTGCAGGCCTTGTATATTTCTGGGGTAGACCATCTTCGCCCGGAGCTTTTTTGTTTCTGAGTGTGTTAATTGTTTTAGCTATTTCGGTTGGAGTGGGTGGATCGCAGTCAACTACGTAGGGTGTTGGTAAGTGTCGTATCGGTCGATGAGACGGTTGACCAGCGTTGCGATTGAGTAGCTGCTTGAAATGTTCGGCCCATCGTTCCATCTTACCATTGGTGTCCGAAATAATTTCTCCTGATGCTGTGCGTAACACAGCATGACTGTTAAGGCGTTTGCCAGATGATAGGCGTATGAGGCGATAAAGTTTTCCGAAATCGCCTACATTTGATGCTGCTTCCATGTTAGTCGCCACATTAGACCAATAGCGATTTCTGTCGTTCCTAGCAGACTGTGTAGCTTTGCGCCTGAGGGAGCGATAAACTGGAGACTTTGCTAGGCGAGCGTCTCTGGCTTGCGAGGATAGATGCATGGTGTGCTCTGAAATCCAGTCTTTCTGCTTCTTGGATGTGGTACCCAAATGCGACATTGAAGCTTTAGAGACTACTTCTTTGAAATGATTCCATCGTGTCTCAGGTGTATTAGAAGATGTGGATGTTGGTTCATCTGCGGCGCTTAGTTCGGCCTGGATTTGTTTGGACAAGGCTTGTCGCTTTGTCGAACATTGATACGCTTCGGAGGTCGCGCCTTCTGGCGTGTTGTTAAACGAAGTTTGAATTTCGCCCTAACTAGAGTATGGTCTGATCCCCCTTTATTTCCGGCCTCTGCGCCACGATAGGATCGACAGTCTTCCACCGAGGAGATCCAGCGTGAGCGCACTAGGATGTAGTCGATCTGATGTGCAGTGCGACCGTCGTTCGAATACCAGGTGAGAAGATGTTTTCTAGGGTGTTGAAATCGAGTGTTGGTGATATATAATCGATTGTAATCAGAAAAAGCTAAAAGTCTATCACCATTACGGCAGCGCTGATCGAGACCGTGTTTGCCTAGTATATGTTTTGTCGCGTCGTCTGAAGGGCCAGTGCGGGCGTTCCAATCGCCGGCTACTATGAGAACGTCACGCTTTGGGATTTTGTTGATTGCCTCTTGAAGATTGTCATAAAATTCGTCTTTGATACTTTCATCAGAGTCGAGGGTTGGGGCATAGACAGCGAGAACAGAAATGTCGAGCGGGGAACCCTTGAACCTAGCGACTGCAACTCTGGAGTTGACCGGTTCGAATGATATTAGGGCATTATTGGCTTTGTTACTGAGAGCAAATGCTACCCCATGTTGTCCCGAATTATTCTGGGGTCCACTATGAAGCAACCAGAATGAAGAATCTGTTCCAGGTACGGCTATTCGGCGGGAGCCATGATCGGGTAACCTCACTTCAGATAGACACGCTATGTCCACCTTGTAGTCGTATAAAGAACGCATGGTGATAGACTGGCTACCAGGATCCAACAGCGTCCTAACATTCCAGCAGCCAACAAATAGTTGGTTTCTAAGTGTTAATTTCCCAGCTGGCTTACTTTTCACACTGGCCACCGGGTGAGCACAGGGCGCGTCGCTTACCGGGAACGCCGTAGCATGGTGAGAGTTGTTTGTAAGAGAGTTCATGAAGTTTCATGGGAATTTGGTACGAGTGATGTCCCCAGCATCGCTATATCTCAAAGTATGGTATATAGTGACCCTAATTCATAGGATACGGCGAAAACTGAAATCAACATTTGAAGTCAGTGCCCATTGGACGACTTGTTCGACATTGACACAATTGCCAAGCAATGAGAACAATAATTTATTCCTCTCTGACTTAACCAAACTGTAAATGTGGCTAAGAATGTATAAATATGACGTCTATTTCCTTAATAAAGATGCGTCACAAAGTCTCGTATTTGCTCCCGTTACACAAAGCTAATATCATTACTATTCTGAACTAATTGCTCGATATGATTTACGATGTATCTGGGGAAGAATAGGTGTTACATCATTTCTATGGCACGTATTTACTGTGGAGTCAATGAACAAAACTTCAGCAGTTGTCACTTCCAGTTAATCACACAACACAGTCGGATATCATCAGGTTAGTATAGGTGCGTGGGGAGACAGAAGTAGAGAGAGAGAGAGAGGTTAGCAGCTGAGACTGACTGAATGGTTTCAACATACAACTTTTCACAGATGTGCAGCAGTTCAAGTCTCCACACTCCATGTAGCACACACAAAGCAAGAGAGGAGAGTAAAAAGAAGTGCAAAAATAGTGACAGTAAACAGAGATATGAAGCGAAAAGAATAGTAATATAGAAGAACAATACAGTTTTATTGGATATTATAAGTCATAAGGTGTGAATGCAAATGCGTCACTGAGAACGATTTTCATTCATATCACCGATAATTGTCATTGGTTTTTACCATCCTGAGGACCCCAACCAGGAAGTCTACATTTTCCTACGTGGCTAAATTAAACTAGTTCCATATTAGTTTGTTTATTAGATATATCACTCACAGTCAGTGAAACAGTGTTATTATTTACTGGATGACACAGTTTCGAACAAAATTTATTACTGTTCATAATCATTCCATCAATTATAATCACACAACTTCGAAACTTGAGTTTTATAGTTTTCTTTGTTCTCTCCTATTCGTCGTCATCGTAGGCGTGGTAGTAGAATTTTCCAGATATCCGGCTGGACAGGCGTTGAATCATTCCTATTACACGTGTTTTTCCTTGATTCGATAAACAAAGCTTCTGTTATCAATCTCTGCCTATACTCTGTGACATTAGATTTTAAAACTATCATCCTATGCCAACCAGCCTATTGTATGGTTGTGTGTAACTGCATGTAGTGAGTGGTATAGCTGAATTATTCTCTAGATTTCTTATCTTATTTGGGCCAACCAATCTAGATTTTGCTAAGTTTCTATGTTCAGCTAGTCTGACTGCCCCTGTTCTACTTGTTTGACATATGTATTTGACCTGACAATCATTGCTGGCAGGGTATTAGATAAACTAAATTATTTTGTTTTAAAGGCTCCATAGGATTGATCTTTTAACCGACAAAGCTTGTTTCTAATTGAGTTTGTTGGTTTGAATACCAGCCACTTTTATTCCTGCCTTGTTAAGAATTCTGAGTAAGGCTTCCGAGGTTCCTTCCTTGTATGGAATTACTGTTGATGAGGAATTTATGATTTGAGTTGGAAAGACGAGATCCAGTTGTTCTACTGACTATTTAATAAGTTAAAGGTATCACGCCTAATGCTTTCTTTATCACACAGAACACGAGCTAAGTAGGGTATGGATGACTTTTTGTACTTGCTAAAGCGGGCATATAGCTTCCAATATAGGCTTCTGGTTTTCTCTAAAGAGATACAAGGGGAGAGTTGTGAATGTAGAGGGTGTTGTGAGTCAGATGAAATGGATTTCACCCATTTTTCACATGGGTCCATGTGCCTGTCGACCAGAATATTAACAAGCTGGTTGAGTAATGTGATGAATAATTGTTTATGCAATCAGGGATTAAATGTGTAGAAATAGTAAAGTGACAAAATAAACACTAAGTTCGGGTATGAAAATATGGTAATGTAAACAGGGATTAAGAAAAACTTAATATAACATGAAGATCCATCCCCCTGTTTATTATGGCATTCTAATTCCTAATTTTTATTTTTATTAATTTGACCCTTGACCGGATATTATTCTGGAACTTTCCCATCCCTTTTATATAAATACACGAGTAAGGGTTGGGTTATTCCACGCTGTCTTAACTTCTTGATGTAGACGGTAAGACGGAATATTTTCTTAGATGTCATCAAGATATGAGACGACCAGAATAGATCAGCAGATACAATGACGCCCAGGTATTTAATTTCTGACTTGGTTTCTATTTCAGTGCCATCTATGTTGCACACCTCGTGAGTGCTAACCAGTTTGTTTAGGTCAGTCAGATTTGTGCCTAAAGGTGAAATTAACTGTTTGGCATTTGGAGGGGTTGAAGGTGAGACCGTTTTCCTTGGACCATTGGCTGATTTCTGATAAAAAGCCACTTAGTTTAGAGCAGTCATTTTGACGTTTGACAGGTAAAGATACAGTTAGGTCATCAGCATATTTGACAAAGTTAATGTCATTTGAAGATGGTAGGTCATGTAGGAAGAAGGAAAAGAGAAGTGGGGAGAGTACAGCACCTTTGGGGACACCAGCTTCAGTGAGCACAGCAGAGGAGGATTTGCCTTTGTATACGGTGTACTGTATTCTGTTTGAGAAGTAGGAATGCAACCATTTGGTGACCCAGGACTCGGTTTGTGTCATGGAGAGCTTATTTAACAAGAGACATCTAGGTACAGAGTCGAAAGCAGAAGTGAAGTCAAGAAACGTGCAGCGGACGTATTTGGCACCTTTATCTAATGATGAGACGATACTGTTGTGTAAGACGGCTGCAGAGTCTAAAGTACTCCTTTCCTGTAACTGAGTTCATCGTTCCACCTTTGAATTACACACTTATCCAGTTGTGTAAGGAAATGGTTCACTCTCCGTTATAGACATGCATACTCATTGTATAGAAATGTATTATATATATATATATATATATATAAAACTTTAAGAAGATTGAATACAATTCAACTTACCTTCAATGAAAATTTTTAAATTTTTTGCTGTATACGCTTGTTCATGTGGTGGTAAGCGTTTAATAGCTAAATCTATAGGCAATGGTGTTCCATGACGGATCGACACAGCCCATTGGTTAAAATTAAATTCATTTGTATAATAATGAATAAATCCAATAAATAATTCAGCTAAACTTGCTTGATTATTTGAGCGTAATTCAGCCCATGGTAATTCAAGACGCATATCTAATTCACACAATGGTCTAGTATAATTGAATATTTTCTTGGAGGCGAAAAGAAGAGAAGAAATCAGAAAGATACAATAAGTAAGTCATGAATGATTTCCTTTGTCAAAATTTTATCAACACGTACAACAAAATTTAGAGAACCATTGAAAAACCCCCTGGGAGTACTAGACAGCCAGCTGTTTCGCCCTAGTTTGAGACTCTTCATCACTACGCACCCACCGCCAGGGTTCGAACACAGGTGCTTCTGGTTACAAGGCTAGCGAGCTCGTAGACTATAAGGTCACTGGAACCTGATTTAATGGCCCGTGCGTACTGCTGAAGACTCCCAAACTAGGCCGACAAAACAGCTATCCAGTACTCCCTGGTGGCTTTCCAACAGTTCTCTAATTGATGTCAGCTTATGATGAAATCCTTCAACCAATCAAACAAAGCCCCTACAGAACCAATACTTGAAAATATACTACAAAAGTTTATTGAATTCAATTAAGAACTTTCGCGTTGACTCACTCGACTGGAGTGCTCTATTGACATGTCGGCTTATTGTGCATATATGCTCCGAAGATGTCAGTCAAAAGTTGATAGACACCCTTCTCATGTTAACTCCAACTGTGCACACAAATTTACGTGTATCTGCGGGAGCAGTTACATTAGGAGAACAGAAAGAAGGGCACACCTCCGATTTTCTGAACATGTACCGAAAAGCCTACGTCTCAAGGGGACAAACTCTTATGGTAGCGCTATTACTAGACATCTCCTCGACACGGGCCATGAAGTACAAATCGAGAAATCCGTTAAAATTATCAATAGACAAAGGAGTTCTATTCTCCTCAAGTTTGCTGAAGCAATTTCTATCAAACGCTTGAAACCAGATTTATGTGTTCAGAAAAAAGCAGTTATTAGTCTTTCCTTGCCCATTCGGGTAACCGAATGTCATCTTTATTTCTCTCATCTGATTACGTAAGGTTGGCCTTTAACCTCACCCCCTTTTATAATCTGTAATTTTGCTTGTCTCTTGTTTCTATGATTTGAGTTGAACTCAGTACATTATTACCTAACTTATTAGTCACTATGCATCTAGTCCATATTTCGTCTTTATTACGTATCTTCTTTACCATTGTATGCATACATTTATTTTGTTTAAACTTGAACTCCCTGTGTAAAAACTATATAAGCGCAATTGTCTGAGCACTGATCACTTATTGTGGAACGTTTTGTCCACCGACAACATGTATAGCTTGCAAGTGTGTTAAAACGTTTCTGTACGTAAACCTCATAATTTATTTAGGCTGTGAGCAGCAGCTGACGAGAAGCCAAAGAAATAAATGATGGTACCATATTATTCAGAGCACTTAACTGGAAGCTATTTGATGGATGGTGACTGGCAGTGGAATTCAACAGGATGCGATTTTCGGGCCTATTTAGGACTACTTGTCATCAAACCAGTGGGTGTACCTGTATTCTTCAAAATCCCCACTGAGTCATATGACAAAGAGAAGACGTTCAGCGAAGAAACTCTTTTCGACGGCGAATTCATTCACATAGCTGTACAATCGCATTTATATACTTACTTACTTTACTTTACTTCGGCTATCTCCTACGGGAGGATGAGCCGGCTTCATGAACATGAGTTCATGAAGTTTCATGGGAATTAGGTACGAGTGATGTCCCCAGAATCGCTCGGCCTTTTCTTTGAGAGTGAAGCTCTAGCCTTTACACAACCAAGTGTGACCTACAAGGCAGTAGGAGTGGAGTAGGGAGTCCACTATTATCCATTGGCAGCCGGTGACCGGAGTCCGGTTCATACGCCTTTTTGAATGGGGCCAGACATCCATAACACCCAATAAGCCCTTTGTCCATACGTCTGCCGGTGAGCTCCAGTGAGCTTCATACGCCAGTCGTTGGAGGTTTGGAATCAGGGTTTAGCCATCTCTCCTAGTCTGTCATCCAATGTACAATCAACCCGGTGGAGAGCGCCGGGCATCCGCTTTTGCCCTCTCACTTCGGTGAAAACACCTCCGCCACATGAAGGCAGTGAGTAGAACTTCCTCAGGAGAGGCTATGTAAGACGCCCGGTCATATGGGAGCATTTCAAGAGGTGTACGGAGGGGTGGCCAACCTGCAGCGCAAGGCACCCACCCCCGACCATCCTGAGGCTTTGGAGGCCATATTTATATACATTAATTTTGTGTGTGTGTGTGTGTACATGAGGATTGTCAAGTCCAGTTAATTGATCAGGTAATACAAGAGTAATCTAATATAGAAACAAGGTTAATCAGACAGCAACTAAAGTAAGATTGAGTTAGTTAGTAAGTTAGATGACGTAATATAATTGACTAAAATGTTTCAACTTAGGTCAGGATAGCAACAGAGGTAATTACTAAGAGACTAAGTCGAAGTGGGTAGAGAATAATGCCAATTAAATTAGAACTGAAATTGAGCAAATAAGTTGGATGATGTAACATGATTGACTAAAAGTCGAGCGTTGGTCAGCTTTCAACTTTCTTGTTCTTTACCCCCATCCGATTTCATTTCTACACCTCACTATCACTGTTACTGACTTGACCAACAATCAACTTCTAGTCTTTTATGTTACGTCATCCCATTGATTTATTCAATTTCAGTTCTAATTTAAATGGCATTATTCTCTATCCCACTTCTACTTTGTTTCTACCTGCAATTATCTCTGTTCCTACCCTGACCAAAGTTGAAACATTTTAGTCAATTATATTACGTCATCTAATTACTATTTAACTCAATCTTACTTTAGTTGCTGTCTGATTAACCTTGCTTCTATATTAGATTACTCTTGTATTACCTGATCAATTATGCAGATGATCTGACTGTATCACTGCCTATCACTTCCGAGTCTGACAGCTCCAAACTTAATAGCTTCCAGTTGGACATCAACAAATGGTCCAAGTCAGATGGTCTTATGTTAAATCCTTCTAAATGTCAGGCGCTTGACTTTACTTTCAAGCATCGACGTGACTTATATGAACTAGTTAGTTCGCATGATCCCTGTAGCATAGATGGCACGGAAATTGAAACTAAGTAGTGCATTAAATTCCTTGGATTAGTTCTTTCCTCTGACCTTTCATGGTCATCCCACATCTTATCTATCTCTAAGAAAATGTTTTGTCTTACCTTCTACATTAAAAAGTTAAGACAATCAGGTATCAACCAACCTTTAGTTTCGCAATTTTTAAACTCCTGTATTTTACCTATTGTACTCTATTGCTCTCCATTAATCTTTCCTGGGCTTCTCAAAAAAAGATTATATCATATTACGAAGAGTATTAAATGCTGTGAGTAGGGCTTGTGGTATGCCATTGCGTGAGCTCGCCAATATTATAGTCGAGAGGCATATAAATTCCTGTACAAAATGGGCAAAGGCTATACTGTCAGACCCTCTGCACCCCCTTTATTCTCAACTATCCCCTTGCATCTCATCAGGTAGGACGAGAAGTCAATATAAAACGTTATATGCTCGTACCACTAAGTACAGAAATTCTACAATACCTTATTTAGCCCGTACTTTATGTGACGAAGACTCTGTCAGACGTGAAACACATAAGTTACTATGTAATTAGCACAGTGAATCGACCCTTTCATTGTTCATCTTTCTGTATTTTATGGTGTCACACTTTCTGTCGTTAAATTATTACTCTGCTATTTTATTTTAGTTGGTATTACTATTATTACTGCAATTTTATACTTTATGCATATTTTTCTCCGTATTGCATACAGTATTTTGCTATGTAGCTGCTGTAACAATCGTTTTATTACTGTTATGTAATGTATATTTATAATTTTTTTGTCGTTTTAGAGTAAATTAGATGCAATATTGTACTGAATGCTGAAAATTCCTTGCTGTATCATTAGTACCGTTTTTGGAATAAAGCTATTATTATTATTGTTATTATATCTAAACTTGACAAACCTCATGTACACACACACATACAAATAATAATATATAAATGCGATTGTATAGCTATGTGAATGAATTCGCCGAAAAGAGCACCTGTATTCCGCAGTAAGTGATAATGGTGTCCCCACTGAGGCTCGAACCCAGCACCTCCATAGTTTCAAAATGCCGAAGCGTTATCCATGAGAACACATCGACAAATGGGAGTATAAATTCACTCTAAAACATTGAGAATATATTTCAAGCCTTAATTCTTGTGTAATTAAATTTTGATTTTACCGTTGGTTGATTGGGCCAAAGTGTGTCCGGCCTCCATTGACATATCAGTGTTCGTAGAAGGAACACTTGGACGATATCTGGGGATTTAACCTGAAGTAATTTGATGGATGGTGGGTAACAAGCAGAAGAATCCAGGATGCTCATGTTGTCAACAGGAATATCCAAAGTGGAATTAAACATATATAAATAACCGATGCCCGTTGCACAAGAGGTTTTTAATGGATAACGCATTGGCGCTGGAGTCACCGTAGGAACACTATCACTCACTGGATGATGCACATTGTACATCCAACTGACGAGTACTCTCAAATAGGCTGAAATGCACATCCTAAAATAGTATTATACCATTTCATACGGGAGACAGAACGCAGGCACCTATGATAAAAGACAGCTAGCCTTTTCATGTCTTCCACTTTCAATGGCCATGTCTGGCACACAGCCATAAAGGAGAACAGAGAGGACTGCTGAGCAGTACACACTTCCTTTGGTCGATAGCCGTCCCGAGGACTCCCAACCAAGAAGTCTATACGTTCCCTACGTGTCTAGCGGACCTTAGTTTTTATAACGGTTCTCTAACTGAAGATCAAACTAGATATCTTCATGGAAGATTACAATAGGGTTAGCAAGCAACAAGTTTGCGTTCATTAATAAAGAATACCACAGATAGTCTTACCGACAAACACAACATTTCTTAGGCGATTCAGATTGCCAACATCGAAATCGATGATAAAATTACAAATAAAAGAGACATTATATCAGCACGAGAAGAAATACAAACATACTGGGAATTTGGCCTGTAAATTAGGCAAAATCGGCGGAGAGCATGATGCCTGTAGGTATTGGATAAGCATTAGAAGTAACGGATAAGTTGAGAGACGACCACGTTTACCATCGTGAATATCCATACGTTGAGCCCAGTGCTTGATAAACATTCCCAATGGTCGAACACGCCAATCGACTAGATTTTGCGAGAGAGGAGAAAAATTGTCACTGTATATTTCGTCATAAACGAATCAACATTAGTTAGAATGGTCATTGAAAACAACAACAGGGCATTGGATATAGATGTTTCGTCCTAGTTTGCGACTCTTCATTAGTACGCATCTAGGACTGTACCAGAGGTCGGTTCAGGGATTTTCAAGATCAAGCTCGCTAACTTTTCAACCATTTGAGCTGGAATCGTGTAATTGGTGAATACCAACTTCTGCCAATGCGTGTTACAGTGCTACCCTCAATCGATACCTTACCTTAGAAGATGAACATCTATTTCACCTTGACACTAGATCCCATTGGCCACCTTGATTTCGCAATACGTCTTCAGGACATTCATTCAGTAGCCATCAGTGAGTTGGAGATTAATAGTCAGACTACGGGCTTTTGTAGACAATTGAATTAATTGCATTGTCATTATTATAATTATTATTCCCCTTAGTTCCTAGAGGAACACAGGACTTCAGCCGCACGTCTTCAATGAGTTCGGTTCTTCGCCAACGTTTTCACTAGGCTCCACGCTTGCAGGCCTGCTTTCATCTCCTCCTCTATGATACCCTTGCACTAACGACAAACACGCCATTCCTCCTCTGGCTTCCACTCGAGTGATGGCCTGACGTGTGATGTCACTTGATGTTGGTTTGTTTTCTCAGAGGATAGCCACCAATCCACCTCCATTTCCTCCTGCATATTTGTTGCACAATTGGTTCCTGCTGGGTTGGTTCGTTCATTGCTAGAGATCCCTGCTGGTGATCTTTTCTGACCAGCTATCTCATCTTGAGTAGTATTCAGATAAAACAACTATTGATGAAGATGTGTAGTTTGTTCGAAGTGCCCTTTGTGAAGCACCAAGTCTGTCTCTGATCTGTATAGTAGCAATAACTTCGCATTCGAGTTCAAAATCCGGATCTTATTTTTCATGCTGAACAGTGCTGTTGATCTCCATAAAGACTTCAGAGTAATGAAAGCTTGCCTTTCTTTCCTGATCCTCGCACTTTGATATCTCCATAAGTCCCACCGGTAGTTGAAACGATGTTTCTCAAATGGATATGGAGGTTGCTTCTTTCACATTCCTCCCATTTATGCTGATTGTTGTCTGTTGTTGTTGTTGCTGTTGGTGTAACCCAGGAATCTTCATCCCCTCTGTTTTCTCTATGTCCACCTGAATTCTTATCTTTGATGCTTCTTCTGCCAACTTGTTGCTTTTCACTTGCATATCTTTCAGTTTTTGGGAAATCAGACATATATCATCGGAGAAAGTCCAGAAATTCCGAGTTATTTGTGTGGGTCCATTTTATGCCTGTTTCCTCATTGCCCACTATCGTTAACCTCACGTAAGCAGTTTGTGAGGAAAAGAAAGGGGAAAACTGATGAATGCGTGGAAAGTTTTATCATGAACTGTAAAACCAGCTGGAGAACACCAATGATGAAAACCTCAACAACACTAGGAACATAATCTTATCTCAATTTTAGGCTGTTCTGCAGTACCTTTGCATGAAACCTTCAACTGTAACAATAAACATAGTAGTCTAAAAGTGTTGTCGAATATTATCAGTACTACAACTACCAACATACTGCGGACTGACTGAATTTGGAAAATGAAATCCACTGAATAAATCCACTCCCGTTCTTGCTGGTAAAGGGTGTGATGTGTGCTTAACTCAATTGTGTAAGCAGAGGAAATTTTATGAAGCGGCTAACAAGTTCCAGACCTGGACGAAGTAGTTGGTAATTACTTTCTTCGAAATACGGACTGTTCCTGGGATCCTAGGGATGGTAAAAACCAATGAAGGCTGAAGACAATTATCGGTGATATGGCTGGAAATCGTTTTCCATGGTTTGGTGCAGATGCATTCACTCTTTGGTGATCTATAGTATCCAATAAAACTATATTGTTCTTCCATATTACTAACTCCTCTTTTTCCATCATTCACACTTCTGTTTACTATCTCTCTTTTGAACCTCCCTTCACTGTCTTCCTTTTCTTGCATCCTACCTTTTACTCTCTATTGTTCCCCCTTAGTTTTTCCTGGGCTGCTGAAGAAAGAATATATCTTATTACGCAGGATGTTAAAGGTTGTCAGCAGGGTAAGTTACATGCCACTCAACCAGCTTGTTAATATTCTGGTCGACAGGCAATTGGACTCATGTGAAAAATGGGCTAAATTCATTCTATCTAACTTACACCACCCTCTTTCATTCACAACTCTCCCCTTGCATCTCATCAGGCAGGCAGACCAGAAGCCTATATAGAAAACTATATGCTCGCACTAGTGAGTACAAAAACTCAACCATACCGTACTTAGCTCGTGTACTGTGCGATAAAGAAAGCATTAGGCGTGATATCTATAACTTATTAAATAGTCAATAGAATAACTGGATCTCGTCTTTTCAACTCACATCACTTATACGTACAACGTTTTTCTTTTTTTCTTTTCCTTTGCTCTCTTTTTTTGTTGCGCTGCTTTGTTTCTTTCTTCCTTACAAACTCTATTTAAAACATTCCTCTTCGCTCTTTCACACTCTGTATATCTCGACGTTTTTGTTACCGCTTACGCCAATAAATATACTAGTATCTACTTTTCTAACACCTTCAAACATTCTGTTCAATTTTGGCTTTGCTACCGACATGCCAATATGTTGTTGTCAAAACTATCTGAGATTACCCGTAATCTATGCAGAATTTTATTTATTGTTAATGTACTAACTGGATGCGCAATACTGTAGTAAAATGCTGAGAATTCCATTCTATATCACAAGTACTGTTTTGAAATAAAGCAAATTATTATTATTCCTTGTATGTTACATAGAGTGTGGCAGCCCGAGCTGCTGCAGTCAAACAAGTCTCTACCTCAACTTCATAGACTTCGAAAAAGCCTTCCACGACGCAAAGTTGACCGAGAAGTAATTTAGAAACTACTTCAACACTACGGCATGCAGCGCAACAAGTCTTTATCAACCTCATTCAACAGCAAGTCCTATCATAACGCCACATGTCAGGTGATCCACAACGGCGAAACCTTTGAAGTGAAGACAAGAGTAAGATAGGACTGTCTATTATCAGTGCCAGACTGTAGAGAACGAGAAGACAGGAATACGTTGAACCACCGATAAGAAGACTTCATCTAGAAGATCTAGATTTTGCGTGTGGATGATTTATGTCTACTGTCACACAAACTTGAAGATTCGCACGCGAAAACCAACAAACTGGCTAAAGAAGCAGGCAGCAAAGACACGACTCCAAGTGAACACAGAGAAGACAGAAGTCATGAAGATAACCAAACAGCCTCCAACAACAACAACAACAACCAGCATCAATCACCATCAACAGGAGAAAATCGACGGAGACTACTTCCTTCACTTATATAGGGAGTATCGTTGCAACTACAGGCATTGGGAACGGATGAAGGTGTTAAGGCAGGCCAGAATTGGAAAGGCAAGATACACCTTTGTCCATCTGAAACCAGTTTGGAAGCCATTTGCCCTCAGCAAGCATAAAGAACAAGATTCGGATTCTGTTCAACACAAATGTGAAGTCAGTTAATCCTTCTCTATATGGGTCAGATACTTGCACTGCGTGTCAGGAAAAGGATTTTCAACAGGCAGATGCAGACTTTTACCAACAGCTGCACACTTCGCTAGCTTCATACTGAAGAACAAATGACGAGACAACTAGCCGGTAGGCCAGAAACTATTAGCAACAAGAAACTCTGTCTGGTGATGAACAAACCAATGACATCACACACAGTGCAGGTTGTCACTCGAGTGAAATCCCAATGAGAAATGACGAGTGGGTCGTCAGTGTGAGGGTGACATGAAATAGATGGTGTGGGGCGGAAGAGACGAAGATTATGGTCAATGGTGGACCACCCAGTTAAAGAGGACGGCAGAAAATAGAACAAGGTGAAGATGTGTTGTCGAAGCCTGAGGGAATAATAATAATAATAATTAACAAAGGTATTGAACAGTACCGATGAAGAGAAATTTAATAAATCTACTTTCCCCATAAGGCAGAACCGAAAATTATACGCTTTGACAAACATTAAGAATTCTGTCAACAATAAGAAAAGTTCATGGGACAAAATGAGGTGCTTTTCAGTGAGTAAAATAAATACGCGTTGGCGGTTCATTAAGTAGAACACACACGGGATTTCCACAATCAATTCCCAGCTGATGCACTGCTAAACCCACACACTAGCTTAACCCCCCCCCCCTCCACTAGTAAGAAGGTTGGAAAAGACAGAACATTAAGCTTAAGACTAACACCGTCATTGCTACTGCTAAAACTTCAAAGTCTCCAAGCTCTCTACCTTAAAGTTCCATTCGGGACTACATAGAAGATTGAAAGTTCAGCATAATAATTACATTTCAACTTAAAGAAATACAGAAACTTACTCTTTGTATACATGGCCAGTAAATGTGTATTATATATTCCGACAACATTATTCACATTCAAATCACAGTCTACACCAGCTAGTGTATCACGAAATTTTAATATTGGAACTTTAGCACGAATTAAATTTAAGTCACGAATAAAACCTGTAAATACAAAAAGGGGAAATAATAAATGATATCATCATATTCATATATGGATGAATGAATTTTACGAAGAAATGTATAATTATTAATTAGGCCGTGAATGATCTAAGGAATAGTATAACATAATGACTCTGTGGTGGGAGTTGTCTGCAAGTCAAAAATTGTAGACAACAATTTACCTCAATGTTCACGATCCGAATCGACGTCATAAGAAAAAAACAACAATAACAAAGCTTAACCTTGAGGAACTAACTCAACAACCAATCACAGTAGGACTTAACGTGTGCAAATAAGATTCGCAGATATATGGCTTAGCTTTCTAAGAAACGGTTGGTCGTCACAAGCAGTACAGAAAAACCTTCAGCAAGAAAACAATCAATCAGAAGAGATTGCTTCTCTGCTAACAATAACGCTAATAATATGTACATAAAAATCTATAAATAATCTCTGTTGATTTTCTTAATAAACGATCTGTTGCCTGACCCTTGCCTTCTGTCGTTACATCTTGACTTGATTCAACAATTTCTATTTATTGTTAGCAGAGCATTGTTTGAACTGAGCTGCCTGAAGCAGGCTCTGAGATACAACCAGTGTATCCAGACTAATAATGGTAACAGACTTTCACTTTCTTAGTCACATTACAGTTCAGTTAGGTCAGAGAACAATGGACTATTTTGATTGCTTGGTCATTGGTCCAAGGTTAAACAAGTTGTCCAATAAGATTGCTTCATATTCACAACGCAAACTAAATACACACTTGAGGAATAAACACATCTACCTCTCCAGTCAGTCATTGACGTGAAATACTGATTTTAATATTGGCCACTTCCTATCAATTTGTATCACGCCACAATAGCACTACCATCATGTTGTCCGAGCTGAAGTTAGTGGAGCCGAATTCGAACCCCGTAGCCACAGACACAGACTAGCACAGCAAATGAGTCAATGACACTAGACAGACACAGAAGAGAGAGATGAACTCAAAAACCACAAACTAATTAATATGAGTACTGGACAGCTGCTTCATCCTGGTTTGGGACTCTTCAGAAGTATGCACCCATCGGAGCTGGAACCTAGGAGCTTCCTGTAGTTGAACAGTAATACGAATTTCCCTTGTAACCGAAAGGTCCTGGGGTTCGGATCGATGTCCCGAACTAGGACCAAACAGCTGTTTAGTATTCTCTGAATTTCGATGGTTCTCTAAATGACATCAGTCCATGGTCAAAACGTAACTCCTGAAAAAAGAAGTAATATAAATCTTCAGATACATCTTATTGATGATGATTAACACAAGAAACAAACAATATGCATAGATGCTGTCAATTACTTCTAAAACAAGCATTCATGTTAATAATCAATAGCATCACATAACTTCGAGATTTTACGTTTTGAAAATATTTCAAGCAAAATTTTTATTTATTTCCAAGTAATTTAGCATCGTCTTTATACTGTGCAATCATACGAATGGATTAATTGTAGCAATGTTCATATCAGATAAGATTTCTATCTATTCTCTAATGATTTAATGATGATCAGAAAAGCTTTGTATACTGATGAGAGTGCGTGGGTGGTTATAACTTCATTACAGGAGGTGGGATGTTCTGCAGTCAACATGGAAACATCATCAGATTATGGCCTCCCCAAGCTATTCCCAGAAGAAAGTGAAATCACCACGCCCACTGTGTCTGCGCTGCCTCGTCCTCCAACACTGCAACTGTCATCAGACTACACTCGATGGAAGAAACGTATCCAGGCATTCCTCAGCACCTCTCCACCAGCCCACCACTTCCTCCATGTTCTCAATGCCCTATCCGAGGATGCTTTCGCACGTGCCGATGCTGCCGGGTTCAGCAGCACAAAATCCATGACTGAAAACTGGCAAATTCTTGACAACTGCTTCAACCTCTAATTGGGCTCCGACCATAGCCTACTAAAATTCTTCAGTCGTAGACAACTACCCGGGGAAAGTCCCCTAGATTACTTCCATGCCCTACAACTAATGGCAGCTGGCGTAGACGATAATGCAGACTCCAACCACAGAAACCGCCTGGTGAGGACACGTTTCATCGAAGGAGTCTTGCCCGGTGACCTCCGAACGGATCTACTGCGACACCCTCCAACGAGCACAACGGAACTACAGCGTATCATTCTGCAGTTTATGGACGCCGAGCAAGATACTGTAGCATCAGCCAGCAGCTCCCTCTGCCCAATCCCAACGGCATCGACTGCAGCTGCACTTACCACCGTTCCTCGCAACACAACGGGGTCCCAGAGGCGCCCAAATGCAGATACCTTCTCCAGCCTTTGCTATTATTGCCAACGTTACGGAAAGAAGGCTCGTAAGTGTGTATGACTGCAGAGCCCCCTAAGGCCGATCACACAGTCTGTTTTAAATGATTACTAAGGTTACGACGGTTCTAAGATCTTGACACCGCTAACGGACCACTGCAAAGTAAGTTGGGATCAAACTTTTCTAACCTCCAGTTTCCCGTGAGCAGAAAGACAGCATAACTTGCTTCCTGGTCATGGGAGAGAAATACCATATCGCTGTTATATTCCTACTCACGAGCTGTACAAGTTGGTTTACAGACCCCAGATACAGTGTCAGTGACCTACACTATGATGGCAACTGCTAGTGTGACCGCTACACAAACGGTAGGACCTGCAGGAACCTAAGAGTTCCAGCCTGTGTAGCGCGTCAGGTCGTTTTAATATACTAGCGCAATCACCATGTCAACTTATCGATCTGCAGATACTTTAATAATAATAATAGTTTATAATGACAATTTTGTTGATGGTGTGAAGCTGAACTGAAAAGAATTAAGAAGAGCAGATAGAGGATTATTCAGGTGATGAGGGACGGACATTTATCAGGCATTAACAATATGAGATGATTACGCTCATGATGACCCCTATGCTACGGAGAAAGTAGATATCAAGATTGAATTTTACAGTTTACAATAAGAAATTAAGGCACTCGGGTATAACTCAACCCCTCCTCTTACAGTTCATAACCTCTTGCATCCTACCTATTCTTCTTTATTGTTCTCCCTTATTCTTTCCTGGTTTGCTTAAAAATGACTGTCACAATTCGTAGAATGCTGAAGATGGTTAGTAGGGTGAGTGGTGTCCCAGTGGATCACATAGTTAATTTGTCATCGATAGGCACTTGACTTCGTGCAATAAATTTGCTAAAGGGATTTTGTCTGACTTGGAGCATCCACTTTACCCTCAGCTTTCACCTTTCATCTCCTCAGGTAGAACAAGAAGTAACTTCAGAAAACTGTATGCTCGCACGTCTAAGTATAGAAATTCTATGATACCATACTTGACATGTATTTTATGTGATGAAAATAGTGTCAGGCAAGAATTAACTAACTAACCTTTTTTCATCTAGTAAATAAACAATTTCCTCCATCCATCCTTACATACCTTCAAGTTTTACTTCTATTATATTTCTGGTCCTGTTGCTTCTTGGTTTGTTTTACTCTCATAATTGCAAACACCAACTTATCTCTATGACTTCTGTAATCTTTGTTTTGTCCCACACCGTATCATGTAAAGAGAACATTATACTCAATATTTTTAAACTTGCTAGGATTTCTATACCGCATCGACAATACTGTGTGGAACAAGCCCACGGCAATTTTCACTTGTATTATTATTATTATTATTACCTTAGAAGTTATTATTATTATTCCCATTAAATTAAATTAAATTCCAACTTGATATTGCACCAGACATTAAGTACGATTTTGAGATATATCACCGATTGTCTCCAGCTTTTACTGGTTTTTACCTTCCCGAGGACCCCATCCAGCCAACTAGAAAGTCTACACCTCCCTACACGACTGGCTGGCTTAAACTAACTGTTGTGAATTTGATTGACTGATGAAGCCATGTTTTGGTTTGACTACCACTAACTCTTTTCCAACCTGACCACCCTATGTCAGCCAACGTTGCCCATCGTGGAAGGAGATAGATGGCTAGGTTAGTATGCATAACACATATCCTAATTATAGCTCTCAATAGATGGGAATTCACTACCTGGCTCGTCGACTGATTTCCCCTCCGTATCTGCAAGTCGATGCTTAACCTCAATATTAGTCACTCTATTGTACCACGCCATTTAACACGGGAGATGGAACGCAGACACCTATTATCAAAGACAGCTAGCCTTATCGTGTCTTCCACTTTCAATGGCCAGGTCTCATAGGCATAAAAGTGAACGGAGCGGACTGCTGAGCAGTATACACGCCGGATATCACGTCTACGCCAGAGATGGCGTAAACTGGTATACACCAGACGAACCCTCTGTATCCGTGCTGAGATTTCGTCAGAGACTAACCCGTTGGCGTTGACTGATGCAACTCCCCAAATAAGTGAATGATGCGGTCAACGCGCTTCACCAAGCACTTCACTCTTCTATCTTTACGCTAGGAGTCAATGTAGTCCAGTCGAGTCCTGTAGCATCATCTTATATTTGACAAAGAGAGAGAATCGCATTCCAAATAGTCGAAGATTGATGCTCAAGGTGTTCAGAAGACTCTACTCTATTTTGTCAGCGTCTTTACCCAGGTCGGAGGACTATATCATCTGCATATTTTAAGTCAACGAAACTACTATTCCCTGGTAGTAACAAGTCAGTCTCAGAGTCACTGAAGTCGGTTAGGGTGGTACAGCGACAGAACGCTCGCCAACCATGCATGCGATCCGGGAGTCGATCCCCGGCCACCGACAACACACTCCTTTACCTCACTAAACCAGTAATAAGACTGGTATAGAAGGAAGATTAGCAAAATCATCTTGTAAAAATAAAAACGCCACGCTACTGAAACTTCAAGTCTCCAGCTTGAAGCCCCCTATGCTCCAATGGGAAAGTGAAGGAAAAAAATTAAAATTTAAAATAAAAAAAAGTAATCCCACATATTAAAGGTCTTACAGGCTGGATGGTATATATACGAGCTTACCTTGTAACTGGAAGGTCCTCGGTTCAAAACCCCAGTGGATGCGTACTGCCGATGATTCCCAAACTAGGCTGATGAAACAGCTGACTGTCCAGTAGTACTCCCGGCTAGTTTTCAATGGTTCAATCCATGGTCAAATTCGAAAAACAAACCTAATCCTTACAAATCAACTTCACAAGTGAATTCAATGACTGGACAAATAAAACTGAAGACGGTATACATTTAAAGTACAAAAGTAGTGTAATTATTCACAGCCTATTAGAGAATAAAACTTAATGACTGTATCGGTGAAGAAATTGAGAATCTTAAGAGTAATTCTTGAATTTAGTTTTGTATTCCCCATTGATTGATTATATAGTACCGAAATGTTTGGTGTATTTTGACACACATTCGTTTCACAATAGGTGACTCTCAAAGGCCCAAGCGGTTCGGTTCGCCTCTCAGCCTGGGAATACCATCCATCACTCACTGGAGTTCGCAGATATACCCACAGTTGGCGAGTACCGAAAATAGGACAAAATAAGTAAGTAAGTCTCACAGATCATCCATTAAAATAACAATCTGAAGAGTTTTCTCGACTCCTCTGAGTTTAAGCTTGAGCTTTTAAGTTTCGTTTCACAGAATGGAATTGTTGACTTCAAGTCCAATATCCCTCTAAGCAAGGTTTAAGAGCCGGAAATCGAACCGCGGAACACGCGTGAAGAATAGTTGGAGAGCATTCTGTCACTGAATCCTCAACGTAACCTTGAAGAGTATCCTGGCTACAAAATGTCTATCTATCTACACCAGGAAAACAGCACATAAAAAGAGAGATGTATATATAGTGAATAGAACAAACACACTGCACGTACTACACTTTCTTAAAGGTGGTAACAGCTGACTTAATATGTAAGCAGCTTCTGTTTTCTGTTGTAAATCACGTGATGTCACAGTTAAACACATATCCATATCACTTTGATCTGAACCAAAACCGTTCATTGATGAGCCGACAATATACAGACCAGCATCTTTAAAACAGTGTGAAAACAAAATAAAACAGAATATAGAAGAAACGATTACATCATCACAATAAAAAAACAAATGAAAAAGAAATACATATTTGCAGGATAAAACAGCTCAGAGTTTTCTACATCCGCGAGTTTTCATCAGCTGCTAAACAGTCTAAGCACCGACACTAAATATATCATCACATGATGAAACAGTATTATTTACTGGATGACGAAGTTTAAATCAAAATTTATTGTTATTCATAATCATTTCAACAATTATAACCAGCCAACTTCGACTGGTTACCAGGGAATAGTCGTATGGACTTAGAATATGCAGATGACATAGTCCTGTTACGGGAGGATGCTGACAAAATGTAGAGTCTTCTGAAAACCTTGAGCAGCTATCTTCGTATGTTTAGTATACTATTCGCCCCTGCAAAATTTAAGATGCTGCTACAGGACTGAACTACGTCAACTCCTAGCTTAGTGATAGGGAGTGAAGTGATAGAACATGTTGACCACTTCACCTATTTGGGAAGTTGTATCAGCACCAACGGACTGATTGGCGATGAAATCTCAGCACGGATCCAAAGAGCTCGAGCTGTTTTCGCCAACTTACACCATCTCTGGCGTAGGCGTGACATCCGGCTATCAACCAAGGGACATGTGTACTGCTCAGCAGTTCGCTCCGTCCTTGTCTTTGGCTCTGAAACATGGCCAATACGAGTTGAAGACATGAAAAGGTTGACTGTTTTTGATCATATATGTCTGCGATCTCTTTCTCACGTTAGGTGGTTTAATGAAGTAAGTAATGCCGACGTTAGGCGTAGAGTGATGGGCAAACAGGGAAAATCAATCGACGAGGCTATAAAGTTCCATAGATTGAGATGGCTAGGTCACGTGCTGCGCATGCCTAACCATCGCCTCCCCCGACGGGCATTACTAGCTGATATAGGTGCAGGTTAATAAAGGGTAAGTGGTGGCCAAACAAAAACATGGCATCGATCCATAAAATCCTTGACAGTTAAACTGAGTCAGTCAGGTAGGGAGATGCAGACTTCCGGGTTAGGGCCCTCGGGACTGACTCTAGGAATCAATGGCTGGAGACAATAGGTGACATGGCTCAAAGTCGTTGTCAATGGCGCAGATGTATTCAGTCTCTGTAATCTTTCATATTCCCTTCTACCATTATTCATTCTGTTTCACTCTTGTAATTGTCAAACTCTATTGATTCTCTTCACTCATCTTCTTGTCTACCTCTGTGTGCTATTTGGAACGTGGCAACTCGAACTGGTGCACTTCGGTGGGAAGTTCTATGTTGAATCCAGACAGACAGACAGAAAGGTAAAAGTATGGATTTTTCAACATGTGAGAACGGTAGCCCAAATTTTGCCGGCCGACCACAGATATCAGGTGTGTATCGGCAGGGGATCGAACCTCAGACCATGTGCATGGTCGGCGAGAGTCCAAACCACTGTGCCACCGACGCACAAGCCTGGTTCCGCCCGGGTAAGTAGACAAATCGAATAAAATAAAATGAAAACGTTACGTAATATTGTGTGAAATTTGATATCATACAATTTAACGTTGTATAAAACAGAATTGATTTAGAATGACAAGTGAAATAATACCAGGGACAGTTCAAAGTGACAATAATAATAAAAATAGTAACAATTGACGCCACAAAGGAAGAGAATACAAACTGAATAGACAAGATGAAAAAATGACAAATTGATAGAGCCAAATTATGATTGGGGATTACTATACTATAGCATCGAGTGATTAAGATCATAAAAGTTGGAGGGGTAGAACGAACTTTTTTCTCGTACACAAAGATTTGGCTTTTCTGTTTCCATAGCCAAAGCTTCAGAAATACAGATGAGTCGGTTACGTTCGGATTCAGGTAAAATACTCTTTTCCTTCTAGATGCCTTTATAGGCAGAGGTTATAGAGATAGGGCGATCATTATCAACCAAATATTCAATGATCGCGCTTCTTACACTCCCTCGGACAAAACTCGAGTAAAAAGTCAATTGTGTGCGTCGGTGGCACAGTGGTTAGGACTCTTGCCGACCATGCATATGGTCCGGGGTTCGAGCACACGCCGACGCACACCTGATATCTATGGTCGGCATGCGAAATTTGGGCTACCGATATCCATGCTGAAAATTCTATACCTGTACCGAAGATACGGTGTGGAATCAAGCTGTAATCAAAAATAAAAAATAAAATAATAAAAATTGTTACTATCACCATTCTCACTTTGAACTGTCCCCGGTATTATTTCAATTGTTCCATTTGTCATTCTAAATCAATTCTTTTTTACAACGTTAAATTCCATGCTATCAACTTTTACACAATATTAAGTAACGCTTTTATTTTATATTAGTCTTAAAGTCACTAGAATCGAAAGTAAATGACAAGGGTTTATTTATCATACGTCACAATAAGGTTTGGAAGTTCCAGTGAAATCGGTTTAATTTTATTTAGATTACTGTTTTGCATCGTGAGCAACGTCATATAACCCCACTTTATGGAATGGAACTCAGTAATACCTGAAGAGACTTTTAATGTGCCATACTTGTTGTGCTGCCCCCATATGTGGCAGAATTTAATCAAACTCCAGGGATCTAGCGAGTGGAGGTGAAGCACAAAAGTGTCGACTGAACACATTCAAGTAATGAATCTCTGTAGTTACGCGGAAATATCCAGTTATGAAGCAAACAGATAATACATGTGATTATACACGCTTATCAATTTATAGGTGACAACCATAGTTAGTTAAATAAAACACGAACAGTGGCGGCTTGTGCAGAATAATGTGGCACGATCATTTATTGCGTGTACTTCTCGTCAGCTGCTGCTCACAGCCTAAATAAATTATGAGGTTTACGTACAGAAACGTTTTAATACACTTGCAAGCTTTACATGTCAGTGGACAAAACGTCCACAATAAGTGAACAGTGCTCAGACAATTGCGCTTATATAGTTTTTACACAGGGAGTTCAAGTTTAAACAAAATAAATGTAAGCATACAATGGTAAAGAAGATACGTAATAAAGACGAAATATGCACTAGATGCATAGTGACTAATAAGTTAGGTAACAATGTAGTCAGTTCAACTCAAATCATAGAAACAAGAGACAAGCAAAATTACAGATTATAAAAGGGGGTGAGGTTAAAGGCAAACGTTACGTAATCAGATGAGAGAAATAAAGACGACATTCAGTTACCAGAATGGGCAAGGAAAGACTAATAACTGCTTTTTTCTGAACACATAAATCTGGTTTCAAGCGTTTGATAGAAATTGCTTCAGCAAACTTGAGGAGAATAGAACTCCTTTGTCTACTGATAATTTTAACGGATTTCTCGATGTCTACTTCATGGCCCGTGTCGAGGAGATGTCTAGTAATAGCGCTACTATAAGAGTTTGTTCCCTTGAGACGTAGGCTTTTCGGTACATGTTCAGAAAATCGGAGGTGTGCCCTTCTTTCTGTTCTCCTAATGTAACTGCTCCCGCAGATACACGTCAATTTGTGTGCACAGTTGGAGTTAACATGAGAAGGGTGTCTATCAACTTTTGACTGCACCAAAGAGCATGTTGTTCGATGGACGGGAACCAACTTAGCTTCAGGATAGGCTCTAGCTAGTGACGTTCTCAGTCTTTTGTTGACCATTTCTGCAATGTTTTCACCTTTACAATCTAGTTGAATAAAGACAGACTTTTTTCAACTGTGATTTGTTTGGTATTTAAGCCTTGACATCTTCCATATTTGTTAATGAATCTTTGAGGATAACCGTTGTTTTTCAGCTCCTTTTCGAGAATCGTAAATTCTTCCTCTAGTTTCTCTGCAGAGCATATTCTCCTCGCTTTATAGTACAGAGTCTTGACTAGTGCTCGTTTATAGCTATTTGGACAAAAACTATTAAAATGTAAGTATTTTCCTTTCTATGTAGGCTTTTGATAAATTGACCTCTGGAGATTACCATCTTCTAGGCGTTGCATGGCAATGTTAAGGAAATAGAACTTTCCATCATTTTCATGTTCCATAGTAAATACAATATTTGTATGTGCGTTGTTGAATAGTCTGAGTAGGTAGGAGGCATGACTTTCGTTGTTGCATACTACAAATGTGTCATCGACATATCGAAAATTGGAAGTTGTTTGATCAATTGCATGCTTCAACTTTGTTTTCTCAAGGTTTGACAAGAAGATATCTGCTAAAACAGGGCTAAGTGGCTACATGGCCCATGGCTACACTATCTATTTGTCGGTAAAGAGTGTTGTCAAACTGGAATTGTACACCCATGGTACACAATAGCAGTAGGCGTTTGAATTCTGACTCTGGTAGTGGAAGAAGATCAGACTGTTGACAAATGATCTCAATGTTTTCATTGATTGGGATCATTGTGAACAAGGAGGTTGCATCAAATGAAGCCATGAACTTATTTGAAACGTTCATGTGATTCACGCTTTCGGTGAAATGAAGTGAGTCTTTCATGGTATGCACGGTTAGCCGTCGGTGAATGGGTTTCAACTTCTCCTAACTCTGGCGAAATCCCTGACGAAGAAGAAAATCTATGACATCTTCCCGGAAAATCCTGAGGAGTTTGTGTATAATCTGTCGAGTCTGAATTTAAGCCTCATTGAAATGGAAGCGCTTCCCCTCGGATTTAACTTCCATATCCCGAATAACTTTGTCAGAAGAACCGATGTCGCAGGTCAATTCGAAAACCTATTCTATCAGCTGAATGACCTTACTCCAGTCGATGAGGACAAGAAGAGCTGGTTCAAATCTAAGTTGTTCGACATTACAAATCAATACCTCATTTCACCAACGTCATATTCCAAATTCCTCTCTGAAGAGCATCAAAAAGCATTGAAATCTCTCAGAAATAATGACAAAATCGTCATAATGCGACCTGACAAAGGCTCAGGAGTGGTACTGATGAATAAAGATGACTACATCCCAAGAATGAAAACTGTGCTTGTCATTATTTCTGAGAGATTTCAATGC